TTCTGTTTGGATTGGTACGTTTGTATTTCCTATGGTTATGTTTATGGGGAAGTGGTCACAACCTAGCGGGACGTCGTGCACTTCCCATTGAGTACTTTGGGCTAGATCTGCGGTGCATATGGTTAGGTCGATAGCCGACATTTTTTGGTTTATCTTATCGTACCTCGTTGGTTGGTTGCTATTAAGGAGTACTAGGTCGTTTGTTTCTATCCATTCGGAGATTAATTTGCCATGATTATCTATTTTATCATCTATGCTCCATGTAGGATGGTGAGCGTTAAAGTCTCCTAGGAATATAGTAGATTTATCGCTTATTTGGAGTAGTTTGTTTAGATCCTCAGGTTGGACTTTTTGTTCCGCCCAGTGGTAAATATTTATGATGTTTATGTTTCGGTTATTTAATGTGATTTTAATGCCGTTGGCTTCTAGGTTTGGCGTGTCTATTTTTATTTCTTCGTAATTTATATCTTCCCTGATAAATATGATTAGTCCTCCTGCGGCTCTTCTTGTTTTCGGTTTAGCTCTGTCAGTTCTAACTGAGTTGTAGTTAGGTAGTGTGAATTTGGATTTTTTTGAGAATTTGGTTTCCTGTATACAAGCAATGTGAGGGCCTTTATTTAGTTTAAATTTAGTTTTTAGTTCATGGCCGTGGGAGGTGAGTCCGTTGGCGTTCCACTGAAAAATATTTAGTCCTTCGAATATTGGGTTCGGGTGATTGGTGATTTATTTTTTATTTTTTATTTTATTCGGTGAGTTCTTTTAGATGGAGGTTAAAGAGGAAGAAGGGAAGATCGGTTAATTTTAGATTGAAAGCTACTTTGTAGAAGGATTTCATGCTAGCTTTTGGTGAGTTTTGACTATGCATGTATGCTAGGAGTAAGGTGAGGTTGTTTAGGTTTTGGGTGTTGGCTGGTTGGGGAGTTTGGTTTGTTTTAGTTGGAGTAGTGTCTATTGTTTCCTCAGTAGTGGAGAAATCTTCGTCATCGGTTAGATTAGGTTTAGCTGATTGAGTTTCCATGGGGGAGGCATGTGATGTGGAGGATTGTGAAGGTGTTTGTGGGATGGGTGTAGCTGATGATTTCATAGTGTTTGTGTTTTGTTGTTGTGCTTGCTTGTGGGAGAGCGTTGTTACCATATTGGCTGTAGGGTGCTTGGATGAGGGTCGTGTTGTGGTGGTCATTTTGAGGTTTGTTTTGCATGCGGGGGTTGATGTTTTGGCTATGTGAGATGTGGGAGGGTTCGTGGTTGGTTGAGTGGCTGCTTGTATGTGTGAGGTGGGTGCGGTTTCTCGGTAGGGGCCCCAGACAGAGCTGTCGGTTATGGGTGTGGTGTTTGTTTGTGGGATGGTGTTTGGGTGTGGTGTAGGGAGGAGTGGTTTAGATGCAGGTGTAGCAAATTTTCGTGTTTGGATTTTAGCCGTGTCTATGTTTATGTGTTTGTTGGCCTGCTGGGTGAGTGTGTGTCTGTATGGGCATTGGTTTGAGAGTGAAGTGTGTTGGGTGGATTTGCAGTGGATGCACCAGGGTGTGCATGTGCCTGGGCAGTCTGTTTGTGCGCATTTTTTACATTTAGTTTTTCGGTATGTGCATTGGGAGGCAGTGTGGTTGTATTTGAGGCACTTTGTACATTGCTTAACCTGCTTTATATAGGGTTTGACTTCTAAGTTGGTGTGGGCTCCGAAGGATATGTGTTTGGGGGCTTCAGGGAATTTAGCGGTCTTTTTGAAGTTGATTATGACAATGGAGGTTGGGACCGTTTTTTCCGTTTCTAGTTGAGGTTATTCTACGCGTGCTGGTGATTAGGGGTTGAGGGTTTTGGTCTTGGTTTATGTTAGCTTCTAGAGAGTATAATTGTAAGTCCTCAGTTGTTTCCCTTGGGTTAACCCTAATTACGCCTCGTGTATATTGTTGCCAATTAGGTGTTTGTTTGATTACTGTGACGTGGAATATTTGAGTTATTTTATTTGCTGCGTTGTAAGATTCTCGGTTAGGGAAGATTATCTGGTATCCTTTGTTGGCTTTTTTAATATTGTTGTAATTTATTTTTTCTCTTTTAAACCAAAGTCCTATTTTATCTGCCGAAAGTTCTAGTGAGAGAGTGGTGCCTGAGCCTGCTGAGAAGAAGTAGAGGGAAGGTCGTGAGGAAGGCGGCCGGGGAGGGTGTGGGCGATGGAGGTGGAGTGGATGTGTCGAGTTTGCGTTTTTTGGTGTTTTGAGGTGGCGAGTTAGCTGGTTTGGTGGGGGTGGTGTGTGTCGTGTTTTCGCCATACTCGGTCGGGACGATGTTTTCGAGTGACCTCCCGGAAGTGTTGTGCGCTTCCGCAGGCGTGGGTGAGTTAGGAGCTGGCATGTCTGCGAGTGTGGCGTTGCGGGTGTCAGTCATGTTGTTTGGAGAGTTGGAGAGCGTGTGTTGTGGTGAGTGGTGGTGGAGTGGGAGTGGTGTTTTGGGGAGGGGAGTTGGTTTGTTGTTTTTACTTGGTGAGTTGTGTTTAGGAGGCGGAGGAGGTTGCGGTGGTTATTTGTTGTTGGTTTTAGTAGGAGGGTTTGTGAAATGGATTAATTATTAAAGATTTATTTTGTTGCTGGAAGGCTGGGATTAGGTGAGACAAGTGGAAAGCGGGGATTAGGAGATATTTAGTCGAAGGAGTGGAGGTATGTGAGTGGTGGGCGTGGGTGGTGAGTAGGAAAGAGCGTGTGTTGTGTTAAGGAGAAGGGGGGATTAGGTGTTTTTTTGTTTTTAGGAGTTGGGTCAAAGGGTGTGTTTGAGTGGTGGGCGTGGGTAGCGAGTAGAAATGAGTGCGAGCTGTGTTAGGGAGATGGGGGAGGATAAGGTGTTGGTTATTTATAAGAGTTGAGTGTTGTTGTTGGTTTTAAGGATTTAGGGGTTTTGTGATTAATTCGGTGAGAGTGATGTATGTGAATAAGGATGAAAGGATAACGTGATAATTACCGATGATGGAGTTTCCTTGGCTGGCTATCAGGCAATGCTCTGTGCTGGCTTGGGAAGTGTTGCTCGCTTGGCCAAGACTCGATTATTTACAGACCGCTGTCCTATAGCTGGAATATTGCTAGGTTCGGCGTTAAACAACAAACAAACAAACGATGAGAGTGATTTTAAGAGTATGTGAATAAGGCTGAAAGGATAACGTGATAATTACCGATGATGGATTTCTCCTTGGCTGGCTATCAGGCAATGCTCTGTGCTGGCTTGGGAGGTGTTGCTCGCTTGGAGTACAATCTGCAACTGTCAATTTCATCACGTATATATATGTAACTGGTTGACACCAATAACTCATCACTAAATAGTTTCAATGAAATCAATTATGGGAGCAAATTTCATATAATTATAAAGTAGTGAACAAATTTCACAAGAGTGAACACTTGTGAGAACATTTCACCTATCACCGCAGTGCCCATTGTACAGGTGAGAACATTTCAGCTGATACGGTCCCCCACTTAATCCCTAATCCCCCCATTGTGAAAGCATTTAGAAACTACAGCCTGTAAACAATAGAGTCCAGGAATGCGGATAATATGGTAATGGGATTATTACAGCAGACCTGAAAATGAAGAGAGTCTCTGGGTTCCTTTTTATTATCTTTTTATTAAGATAATTTAACAACTGTTTTTTCCTGTAAGATTTTTCTGTTCATTTTAGGGACTAGATGTTAGTCAAATGAAATGTTTACATTTCTCCTCTCTCTTCCTTCAAGGATCATGGTAAGCCTGTGAGGTGATAGCCGCGCGGTCATATAATACCTCCTATATCACATATCACTGTGTAATAACAACAGCGTAACATTTCAACTCGTCGGTGTAGTGATAGGATACATAGACATTCGATACACGAGATGTTAAGCAGCCTCGATGAATCTTGTACTGCTTCTCACCATGCAGCCAAGGTCAACTCGAACACCTGTAACTTGATATATCGTTTTGATAACCAAACTCACGTTATCAACGTCACAAACAAACGCTTTAACCGTGAAAACCGGAGGAGGACTATCGCTTTCATTGAAGCTAGGTGGAGCATGTTACGAGAAGCGTGACACCTTGGTGTCCATCAATCCATAACTTACAGGCTTTAGGAACATCATGAGTTGACCATCACTACAGAGTATTGCCCACTAATTGACCGACAGCGTGTGACGTCAGATAGACAAGTTGGTACATGGTGACGTCACATCTACGCAATAGATTCCTACGTGCAACCACAACTGCTCGAATGACGCCAGGGACTCACCACAGTCCAATTAGCGGCCAGGATGTGATTCAGAAAGACTTTTAAACGTCAACGTGACCTTGAATCTTACATGCAATTCATGAAATGCTGTCTTAAGTGAAATTCATCACGCCAAAGACACGGGTTCGATTCCCGACATGGATACAATGTGAAAAGCCAATTTCTTGTGTCCCACGCCGTGATATTGCAGGAATATTGCTAAAAGTGGCGTAAAATCAAACTCACTCACTCACGTTTAAATGAAAATAAAAATGTTGCCCTGCCAATTTTAACTTATTTCTGTTGATAACTTTCATTTTTATAGCATGTTACTTTCACCTCTTCAAATTCGCGTTTCTTTTGGAGTTCAGTGTATTGTAGGGAATATCAATGATGAACAAATTCTTATATATATGCGATTGAGGTTTTCGGTTCCACAAGAACCATCAAACCAACTTCTAAATATTTATATTCCCTGAAACACGTAACGTCAGGGACATCGTTGACATCAATGTATTGTTAACGCGCAGTGAATGTTCTGTCACCTATGCGCACTGGACAATTTTGACTGGGTTCTGTCTTTATCTTGTTGCATGTTTCACGTGACTATTTGCGAAACATATCCTGTCCTCTAGTGATACTTAAAGCAGTGTATCAATTTACGCCCTATCTCATGTCAATTTCATCTTGATAAGTACATGTTTGCAAGACATTGTTTCCCATTCACAGACGGAACCGCCCCCTGGAACCATATCTCTGGTATTCTTCAAGGCCAACCATATCCATTTCAGTCACTGAGTCCTGTGTTGGACGTGAGACACATGTCTGAGAGTCGTGGTGCCATGGAGCGGTGGTTGGTTCTCCTCCTTGCCTTGACTTTGGTTAGTGGGAACTTTAATGTGAGTCTCGAGGAGGTGGCTACTGTGTTTTTGCCGACAACTGGACGAGAGTGGGATTACAAAGTTGTCCAACGTGCGACCTACGATGCCGACACCAAGCTCCTTTACGTTGTTGGTAAGTGTGAGGGGCGGGGACGGTACAGGTTTGACGTCGTGATCAACGCGCTTGATCATAACGATAGGCGTTCGATTCCTTACATGGGTACAACATGCTCAGAACCCACCAACGTGAACTTGTCTTTCTCTAAACCCCCAAATCTGACCCTTCCCCCCCTCCCTACCTGCCTCCCCTCTCTGTCTGTTACTGTTTCATATACTCTCTCTCTCTCTCTCTCTCACACACACACACACACACATACACACACACACACTCTCACACTCTCTCTCACACACACACACACACACACTCTTACTCCCTCCTTTCCTCCTCCCCTCTCTCTCTTGCTGTCTCTGTCTTTCTCTCTCTCTAACTCCCTCTCTCTCTCTCTCTCTTACGGGGCGGTCGGGTAGCCTAGTGGTTAAAGCGTTCGCTCGTCACGCCGAAGACCCGGGTTCGATTCCCGACATGGGTACAATGTGTGAAGCCCATTTCTGGTGTCCCCCGCCGTGATATTGCTGGAATATTGCTAAAAGTGGCGTAAAACCATACTCACTCACTCACTCTCTCTCTTACTCCCTCCCAATCTTACACACGCACTCTCCTTCTCTTACTCTCTCACCCTCCCCCCTCACTGTGTCTTTCTCTCTCTATGTCTTTCTCTCTCTATGTCTTTCTCTCTCTCTCTTACTCCCCCTCAATCTCTTTCTCTTACTCTCTCCCCTCCCCCTCTCACTGTGTCTTTCTCTCTCTATGTCTTTCTCTCTCTATGTCTTTCTCTCTCTCTCTCTCTCTTACTCCCTCTCCCACTGTCTTACTCCCCCTCAATCTCACACACACACTCTCTCTCTCACACACACACACCCTCTCCTTCTCTTACTCTCTCCCCTCCCCCTCACTGTGTCTTTCTCTCTCTCTCTTACTCCCCCTCCCACTCTTACTCCCCCTCAATCTCTTTCTCTAAATCTCTCCCCCTCTCCCTCTCTCTATGTCTTTTTCTCTCTCTCTTACTCCCCCTCCCACTCTCTTACTCCCCCTCAATCTCTTTCTCTTACTCTCTCCCCCTCCCCCTCTCACTGTGTCTTTCTCTCTCTATGTCTTTCTCTATGTATTTCTCTCTCTCTTACTCCCTCTCCCACTCTCTTACTCCCCCTCAAGCTCTTTCTCTTACTCTCTCCCCCTCCCCCTCTCACTGTGTCTTTCTCTCTCTATGTCTTTCTCTCTCTCTTACTCCCCCTCCCACTCTCTTACTCCCTCCCAATCTCTCACACACACTCTCCTTCTCTTACTCTCTCCCCTCCCTCTCCCTCTGTGTCTTTCTCTCTGTGTCTTTCTCTCTCTCTCTTACTCCCCCTCTCACTCTCTTACTCCCCCTCAATCTCTCACACACACTCTCCTTCTCTTACTCTCTCCCCTCCCTCTCCCTCTGTGTCTTTCTCTCTCCCTCTCTCTCTCTCTCTTACTCCCTCTCAATCTCTCAATCTCTCTTACTCCCTCTCAATCTCTCACACACCCTCTATCTCTCTCTCACACACACTCTCCTTCTCTTACTCCCTACCCCTCTCTGTCTTTCTCTCTCTATGTCTTTCTCTCTCTCTCTGTGTCTTACTCCCTCTCAATCTCTCACACACCCTCTATCTCTCTCACACACACACACTCCTCCTCTTACTCCCTCCCTCCTTTCCCCCTCTTTCTCTTGCTGTCTCTGTGTCTGTCTCTCTCTCCCCCTTTCTCTCTCTCTCTCTCTCTCTTACTCCCTAGCCCATTCTCTTACCCCCTCTCAATCTCTCTCACACACAGACTCTCCTTCTCTTACTCCCTACCCCCTCTCTGTCTTTCTCTCTCTCTCTGCCTGTCTCTCTCTCTCTCCACCCCCCCCCCCCCCCCTCTCTCTCTCTCTTTCTATGTCTTTCTGTACAAGAGTAGGTGTGATGGGATTCTGTCACTGACATCGGTCAGTGTAGACGGTTTCTTGGTATACCAATATTATTGATTGACAGATGAACTAGAGTATACTAATATCATGGATTGACAGCCTTACTAGACCGATGTAATGGATTAACAGATGAACTAGACCAATATCATGGATTGACAGATTAACTAGACCAATATCATGGATTGACAGATTAACTGAAGTAATATGAAAGAATCGGTTGTTTCATTTCTTTTGAGTCGCATACAGCCGCCCAAAACAAATGTTTTAAATGTGTTCCGAGGATAGCGCAACCACAGTCTGTGTAACCAAGTCGGCTGCGTGTACTCTTTACATCTTACAGGTTGTCATGGTGAAATACATAACCCTGACAACGGCATAAAACTAAACTCACTTTCCAATTAATCCTCATCGCAGGTGGGCTAAGCAGGTTCGTGATTGACATGAAGAACCCCCCGAACCTCGCCCCCGTTCGCACGGACTCCTCCCCGCAAGGTAACGTGGAGTACACCGACATCTCCTGCTGCGGCAACCACTTCATCCAGACAACCCATGACACTGCCTACCCACCCAACGGAACCGTCAAGATATTCAAAAAGTTCGACGCAAGTAGACCAACAGAAGAGGTCTTCTCTGCCCAAGGTAGAGGGTTCAACGTTTTGTTTGTTTTTTATATTAACAGTAAATCATATTGTAAGTGGCGCAGTTTGTAAACTGCACATTGTCCTGTCATGTTTTGGACTGCCTCTGTGGTCTAGCCGAAAGAGCATCTGCCCGGAGAGCGGAAAGTCGATGGTTAGATCGTCAGTATACTGTATCTGAGTGGGGTATCCATGTTAAACTGCGGCATGGTATCTCAGGCTTGCACTAAAAAACCGGCATTAATCTGAACTGGTATACAAACACATGCAAGCACGCACGCATGCACGCACGCACGCACACACAAACTTCACCAAACTCGGAACATACATGTAGATAGGTCTAGTGAACTGGTGCCTTTTGACATTTTGGGAGTTTTGAAAAAAATATATACTACATGTATGTATGTTGTTGTTGTTGATCTATACTTTCCATTGCAACATCTTTCATTTAGACTGCAAATGGCGGTATTGCTAGTTTCCGGAGCAGATCTTGAAAACCGTACAATATTTCTTCTCCAAACTTGGTACATAGATAGGTCTATTGGTGAACTGGTGCCTTTTGAATGTTTGTGATTTTAAAAAAATAATAGTTTTTGAGAATCCATGGCAACAAGTTTCATAAATATATTCACGACAAGTGTTCACACATCTTTTTCTACAACAGTTGGCGAGAACCCGAGTTGTGTGAGATTCCTTTCTGGGTGTAGGACGGCTATTGTTACTGTCAGAGGAAGTGCTTACAAATCCGGAAGTGATTTCATTGACCCCCAGGGCAAGGTCCTTCTTGTCCGCCTCCCAGGAGCCAGGTACGCTGGAAGCTTCGCCAGCAACGTTCACATCACAACGTTGGATTTCACAAAGTTTGATGCAAGGTAGGTGGGTGTACTTACTCCTAACTACCAGGAATACCAACGTCTGAGTTTTGTAATAAAATTGTATGTCCTTCTTTATATCAAACAGGGAGGGGCATATCCTCGTAGAACTATTCCAATTACATTCCCAGCAACCCAGCTATAATATCAGCATGGTATCCCAGTTGTGTAGCACTACTATTTTCATGGATGGATCTACACTCCTCACAAAAAGAAACGCACAGGTAGATTTTTAGTAAATTTATTGTACCTAATAAAGTCGACATATTTTATTTAATATCATAGATATAAATATGAAATTTTGGAGCTCGATAGTCACATGTCGTTGTACGAATTCTGTCCTGCGGAATTCTGCACCATTCTACTTGTAACGCGTTAGGCAGTTGTTGGAGTGTCTGCGGGGAGTTCATACCAGAGGTGTTCGATTGGGTTCGGATCTGGAGATCTCGACGGCCAGGGCAAGCCGTTGATGTTAGCATTATGAAGGTAGTCTACCGTGACACGAGCTGTGTGCGGTAGAGCGTTATCCTGTTGAAACAGCTCCTTCTGGCGGTCAATGGTTGGAAGGTGAGGTTGAAGAATTTGATTCATGTAGCGAATCGCTGTCAAATTTCCCTGAACCACAACCAAGTCAGATCTCGCTGTGTAGGATCCCCCCCCCCCCATACACACACATCATGACACTACCGCCACCGAATTTGTCGAATACACACTGTGGGACAAAGCGCTCATTTCGACGACGATAAACATCGTCTTCCATCTCGCCGGTGAAGAAATTATCTTGATTCATCGCGAAACCGCACTCATCTCCAGTTTCTCAAATTCTTAGGCTGTAAGGTATGGCACCAACGCAAGCGTCGCTGTCGATGGTTCTGTTGCAAAACAGGTACGATAACTGCTTTTCTGGGTCGGATTCCAGCCTCGTGGAGATGGTTTCTGACAGTCTGATATCCTCCTCAAACCAGAGATGCGTCCTGCAGTCTCCGCAGCTGTGGAGGAACAGTCGAATGTAGCGATCCTGTGCTGTGGTGGAGATTGAAGTGACGCGCGTGCATCAGAAGACTGCGATTCCCCTCTTTGAATACGTCCTACGGCAATGTTCCGATCGGCAGCACTGAGTCTCGGCACTTTCGAACTTGAAAAATGTTGCGATTGAATGACAAGTTATTGACTTACGAGGGGTGTCACATAAGTTTCCGGCCTCAACATGAACGGATAGCCCAAACTCAACCAAACTGCACCTGTTGCTAGAACAGTGTCTCTGCACGTGGATGACATGCAAAACATGAATCCCACGTGCTACAAGTTCCTATAAATTGCTATCAAACAGCATGACCCGCTCACATTTGGAAAAAATGGAGAAGACCGAATGTAGAGTCGTTATTAAGTATCTACATTTAAAATGTTAACGCCAAAGCAAATTCATGATGACATGGTACAAACATTAGGTGACAATGCTCCTTCGTATAGTACGGTCAAACAGTGGTGTGCTGAATTTACAAGGGGCAGACGCAGCACTGAAGACGAACCACGGTCTGGTCGCCCTTGTGAAGTGACTACCCAAGATGAAGTTGCAGCTGTTCTTGATACAATAATGCAGGACAGACGAGTAACTGTTAGACAGTTAGCTACTGCACATGACATGAGTAAAACATCAGTGGAACGAATAATCCATGAACATTTACACATGAACAAGGTGTCTGCCCGTTGGGTGCCCAGAATGTTGACAAAACAAAAACGTCAGAGGGTCATGATTAGTCAACAGCTTCTGGAAGATTTTCGGAGAGATCAACGTGCTTTCATGGCTCATATTGTTACTCAGAATGAAACCTGGGTTCATCATTTTGACCCAGAGACAAAAAGTCAGAGCATGCAATGGAAGCATGTGACGTTACCAACACCCAAAAAGTTCAAAAGCACATCTTCCAGTGGCAAGATCATGGCCTCCGTTTTCTGGGACTCCGCGGGCGTAATCATGATAGATTATCTACAGAAGGGTTCCACCATTAAGGGTGCATATTATGTAGATGAATTGCGCAGATTGCGAAATGAAATCAAAGCAAAGCGCAGAGGTAAACTAAGCCGAGGTGTCTGGCTCCTCCAGGGCAACGCACCAGTTCACACCGCCCAAGTAGCAGTGAGCGCTGCACATGAATGTGGCTTCAAGATCCTGCCTCACCCTGCCTATTCTCCAGATCTGGCCCCCTCTGACTTCTTCCTCTTCCCTCAATTCAAATCTGTACTCAGGGGCCGAAGATTTGGGACAATGAGGTCATCACTGCTGTAGAGGTATTTTTAGGGTCACGTGACAAACTGGTTTTCTGACGGGTTAAATATGCTGGAGAAACGGCGGAACAAGTGCATTGAGGTCAAGGGAGATTATGTTGAAAAATAAGTAAAACAGTTTTTATATAAATCGCAAATTACTTATGGAGGCCGGAAACTTACGGGACACCCCTCGTATGCTTACCTTTTTTATACGAATGCCTTAACTTGCAAAGAACAACACACTACCTGTGCGTTTCTTTTTTTGAAGAGTGTATGTAGATCGATCTATATGGATGTTAGATAGATATATAGGTATGATTATATATATATATATATATATATATATGTATATATCCTTTATAGCGCGCAAACGCGATAAACACGGCACACACACACACACATATATATATATATGTATATATGTGTGTGTATATACTGATGTGTGTGTGATATATATATCATCTCATTTTGACTGTAGTGAGTGAGTGAAATAATTAGTAAATAATTAGAATAAGTGAGTGAGTGAGTATGGTTTTACGCCGCTTTTGGAAATATTCCAGCAATATCACGGCGGGGGACACCAGAAATGGGCTTCACACTTTGTACCCATGTCGGGAATCGAACCCAGGTCTTCGGCGTTACGAGCGAACGCTTTAACCACTAGGCTACCCGACCGCCCCATTTTGACTGTAGATGAGATGGCATACGCGCTACGCACGTTCATGCATGAGTTCAGGGTTTCTGGAACTGTTTTAAAAAACATATTTTTCCCAATATTTTATGACAGTTTTAATTACCTGTGTCAGCTAGGATGATCATCACCGTGAATAGAAACTGTAAATGGATTTGATGCACCTGGCCGGGGTATAGTGAAACATACTTTCGAGGAGTTTCGGTCATTACACCTACATGTTCGTTCTTGACAAAACTAAAACCAAAGGTATAGTTTCCGATACACGTTGATAGTTATGTGTGAAACTCAAACCAAGTCAATAAAAAAACAAAGATTCGAAGTAGTTCGCACAAGCGAGTGTGGTCTTTCCAGTGTGAAGATTTCAAAGAGCGTCGCACAACTCTTGCTTAAAAGGTTGTTTTTTCCATTGAACAATTGACTTGCCTTTGCATGTGTTTGTGACGGTGCTACCGGTGGAGCAGAGTACGCTCACCTTTCACGAACACATGGTATCATGGTAGTGATTCATAAACACATGCTTATGGTATAATCGGAATCGAATTATTACGATTATGAAAAGGGTTTTGTCGCTTTTATTTATTTTAACTTGATATATACCGCTATTGCATGTAACCCACTTAAGGCAGTGCTGGGGCAAATGCAAGGTATAAGCCACACGGACCAGCAATTGTAGTTGAATTGTGGCTCCTTTTCTCCTTTTAAAAAATTCCACTTACTGGTTTACACTTGCACAGAGGGAGTACAAATATACTGAATACCCATAGAAAACTAATATCAAGACTCACTGAGAATGACAACATGTGAGTGACTATGCGATTGGTCAGAACGTTATCGGGAGCCCTGATTATTAATATTGACCACAGCGTCATTGATGTCCGAGGTTTCCAGACCTAACTGAACCCACTGTCCACGTCATTCAGGGTCAGCGAGCTGCTCAGAGGGGGAGCGAGGTTTGTGTACCGGGACCGTCACAACAACTTCTCCAACGACGTCGACCCAAACAAGATTACGGTGACACCGGACGGGAAGACGGCGTATATTGGTCTGCAGGTATTTTTTGAATTGCATGATTCACGATCATGAACATGCAGATCAAGGATGATGTGGTCTGAGATGAAGGGGGTTTAACGCCGTGTACACGTTTTCGCGAACATATCGATGTGTGCGTGTCTGCTTGTGCTAATCCGGACCAAGGTCGGTTTTATACTGCTAGAGATGGTACTGAGATACCATGCCGCAGTTTGACCAGCACGCGGCCAGCAAGTACCATCTTGACGTTTTGGTAAGACGCGGTCAGGGAATCGAACCACCGCCCTATTGCTTTCTATCCACTACACCATTGATACGGTTGGGATAAGGATGAAGTAGAGGTGAGGTGAAATTGGGTTTAACGTCGCGTCCAAGATTATTGCACTTATATAGCGACGTGAATGCACGTGTGTGTGTGTGTGTGTGGCTGCTTGTACTAGTCCGGACTGATGCCGATTTATAGTGCTAGCTCACTTTGATACCATGCCGCAGTTTAACATGAAAACCCCACTCAGACACAGTATACTGACTCCGAGCCGAGTAGTCCTTGTTTTAGCCCTTTAATGCCGAGCGCCAGACAGGGTAACAACAAGTACCATCTTTTAACGTCTTTTGGTATGACGCGGTCGGGGATCGAACCCCGGACCTTCCGCTCTCCGGGCGGACGCTCTACCACTAGACCACGGAGGCGGTCCGGGATAAGGATAAATGTTGACCAATGTAGTATTTCTATGTAATACATTTACATCCTGTTCAGGAAGTGAGTGAGTCATATCACGGGGGCAATCGACGCCCGACAAGACAAACCATGAGCAATGTTGCACGCACGCACGGGGAAGATTGTGTTAGTAAGATCTAACGCTGTGACATCAGATCCTCTAAGCATGAATAATTTCATACCCACCCTGACCCAAAATCCAGAAGCGGATTGAAAGGTAAAGATGATCACAGTTAGATTTTAGCTGATCTAGACAAAACGCCAGCCTCCTGGATCTTATTGCAGAGTCAGTTCAGAAAACAGTAGATCTGTAACCATATGTTTTGTTCTAGCGCAGCAACGCCGTGGCTATGTTGGACGTGAGCTCCGGGAACATCGTCAGCATCCGTGGTCTCGGACTAAAGAGCTGGAGTGACCTCCTGATGGACGCGTCCGACCAGGATGGGGGTAGGTACCGGTAGCTGGATACTAGGACATTATTTAGGACATTGTAATAACATTGTATAGTTTTAAGAACCAACTGTGATAGTGCAACATGATCACAACTGCTATAACATCAATTATCATAGTTCTATGACTTCCGTTACCGTTCTGTGATGCGGTCTGGCTTTAAGCGACATGATGTCAGCAGATTCCGGGTTCCGTACATGTCTGGGACGTTATAAGGGAGTTAACGGGGGACGATGTCCCCAAGTCTTATGCCCATTCCAAGTAGAGTTCCAGATGTTGTAATTAGTGCACTGAGTGACCCTGAAACCATGTCTCCATGTAATAAGGGCAGCCATTAGCATGTGCTGTCATATTGATAAACATCATACAGTTCGTGTTAGCAGATAAACAAATGTGTGTTTGAACCACAGGAATGAGACATTTCATACAGTTTGGTATTCCTGTGACAGCCCGCCTTCAATTGTTTGTAATGTAGCTGATTGCGGTGAAGTACAACATACATCTAACCAACTAGACGACCTACTTACCTTTCTAATGTCTTCCTCATACGTGCGCGTACGTGTGTGTGTGTGTGTGTGTGTCTGTGTGTGTGTGTGTGTGTATGTGTGTCTGTGTGTGTGTGTGTGTCTCTGTGTGTGTGTGTATGTGTGTATGTGTGTCTCTGTGTGTGTGTGTGTGTGTGTGTGTGTATGTGTGTGTGTGTCTGTGTCTGTGTGTGTGTGTCTCTGTGTGTGTGTATGTGTGTATGTGTGTCTCTGTGTGTGTGTGTGTGTCTGTGTGTGTGTATGTGTGTGTGTGTGTGTGTCTGTGTGTGTGTCTGTGTGTCTGTGTGTGTTCGGTATTACGCTGGTTTTAGCAATATCCAAGTATGTAACCCCTGCACAACATTTGTCTGTTAAAAGGTTGTTTGTTTGTTGTTTAACGCCGCACCCAGCAGTATTCCAGCGACATGACGGTGGTCTGTTAAATAATCGAGTCTGGACCAGACAATCCACAGACTGACATCGGGATGCGATGACATGCATCAACCAAGTCAATGAGCCTGACCACCGATCCTTGTAGTCGCCTCTTACGACAAGCAAATTCGCCCTTTACGGCAAGCATGGGTTTCTAAAGACCCATTCTACCCCGGATCTTCACAGGTAACACAGAACAAAAACAACAGTCTGTAAATAATCGAGTCTGAATCAGACAATCCAGTAACTGACATCATCCTATTCCTACTCATTTGGAATACGATGACATGCATCAACCAAGGCACAGAGCCTGACCACCCGATCCCGTTAGTCGCCTCTTACGACAGGCATGGGTTGCTGAAGATCACTATACTAACCCCCGGGTTTACCAAATATGGACTGAGCGCCATCATTGAATACTGAAAGTTCCCCAAACATCCCCTGTTAACGCAATAAACAAGCAATATCATGGAACGGGGCACCAAGAACGGATTCACACATTTCACAACACGCTAACCTAACCCTGGTATTGAGTGTGGCACTGGCCACAAGGCAACCTCCCCGACCCTGGAAGTAGGACAGATACATTTGTCATGTCTAATAATTAATATTTCATCAACCAATGAGGTACGTATAATTACATTACAAGAAATAGTTTCGCGACCATACTTCTTCTCAACATTCAAATATGAATCAGTTTGCCGTGGTCTAAACAAATCTTGGTGTGGGTACCTGAGAAGCGTGTTGTAATCATGTTGTGATGTACCAGGTATCAATATGAGGGCGTGGCCTATCTCCAGCTACTACCTCCCTGACGGCATTGAGTACATGACACACAACGGCAACAACTACATCGTCACAGCCAACGAGGGCGACGACTACGACTACAGCGATATGATATCATGGAAAGAGGAAATGAGAGGGCGAGAATTTGTGGAAAGTAAGAAATATATTTGTTTTTGTGGGATCAACCATATGCATTAATGGTCTATGTTTCCACAATTATTCACGTCCTCAAAGCATGTTGTATTCAATGATAAATCAGTAGGTCCTTGGACTTTACCTGCCGTCACATCAATGCTACGTGTGCCAAGTTTCTTGTGAAGTGATATGTCATTCCTTACATAATATAATGTCTGTTATACATAAAGCTGTCGCTCATTGCGGCAACGCCATTCTCACAATGGCTGTGCGGCGGAATATTTGAGGATTTGTAGAAGGCTACAGTTTGTTTGTTTATTTGGTTGTTTTTTTGTTTAACGCTGCAAACTTTATGACGGCGGTCTGTAAATAATCGAATCTGAACCAGAGAATCCAGTGATTGACATCTTGATACGATGACTTGCATCAGCGAACCTGACCCCCCGATCTCGTTACTCGCCTGAGGAAAAACCAAAGGTTGCTGAAGACCTATTCGAACCCAATCCTCACGAGAGACAAGGTTAAAGTGAGTGAGTGAGTGAGTATGGTTTTACGCCGCTTTTAGCAATATTCCAGCAATATCACGGCGGGGGACACCAGAAATGGGCTTCACACATTGTACCCATGTCGGGAATCGAACCCGGGTCTTCGGCGTGACGAGCGAACGCTTTAACCACTAGGCTACCCGACCGCCCCCAAGGTTAAAGACAACTAATAGTACAATGTCCAGCATAATGCGTTCAGTCGGAACGAACACAAATAGGTTTATCTGCTGCTAAGCCGACAGGGTCGCAATATGAATCAAACTGACAACAAGGGTATTCACAGTTTAAATGATATTACTATTAAAATCCTGTTTCTTGTCAACTGAATATCAATTTTCGTATCTCATCCTGATTCGCTGTTTCAGACAACATGACAGCAGATTCTCTGAGTAGCGAGATGAAGACATGGCTGGCCAACGATACCATGCTAGGTAGGTGAGTGAGTGAGTTGGGTTTAACAGTATTCCAGTTATATCGCGGCGTGTCAGCTTAATGTGGGAGGAAAGCCCGAAGTGATGCAGGTCTAAGACGGGGCGAACCGAGATTCGAACCCACAATCAAGGGACGCAACACTGCACAGCGAATCGCGGCGCCTTAGGTAGGTGAACTGCATTCTCATGGTGGGAGTTGGATTTTGCGAGATATGGTTCACCAATTTCACCTCACCATATCTAGCAAAAATGCGTCGCGTCCAACATTATTCCACTTATATAGCGACGTGCATGCACGTGTATGTGTGTGTGTGGCTGCTTGTACTAGTCCGGACTGATGCCGATTTATAGTGCTAGCTCACTGAGATACCATGCCGCAGTTTAACATGAATACCCCACTCAGACACAGTACACTGACTCCGAGCCGACCAGTCCTTGTTTTAGCCCCTTAATGCCGAGCACCAGACAGGGTAACAACAAGTACCATCTTTTAACGTCTTTCGGTATGACGTGGCCGGGGATCAAACCCCGGACCTTCCGCTCTCCGGGCGGACGCTCTACCACTAGACCACAGAGGCGGGCGGGATTTTACTAGACATAGTTTGAGCTACATCTGATAAAACATATATTTTGTTTAGTTCAAACCATGAACAACATATATTTTTTACATAAAACACCTTGCAACAATGTATTTTGTTGGCAGACAAACTATAATCTACCCCCTCAGAAGGTGAAATGGTCTGTCCCTTACGCCTGTTCTTCCGTCTGTGTTGTTCAGGGAGATTGACGTTCACAACTCAGAACGGAGAGAATAATGTCACTGGTGGCTACAGCAAGTTCGTCACGCTAGGCAGTCGCAGTTTCTCCATCTGGAACGCCACATCCATGAAGCAAGTGTACGACAGCGGGGACGACATCGAGAGGACACACGCCGATCTATACCCCGACCTCTTCAACGGGGATGTGAATGGCACTAACACGCCCACACAGGACGCAGACAAGACGTCGCCGGAGAGGGTAGTAGTAGTAGTAGTAGTAGTAGTAGTAGTAGTAGTAGTAGTAGTAGTTGATCTTCAGCAACCCATGCTTGACGTAAGAGGCGACAATGCTTGTCGTAAAGGGCGACTTAGGTGGTCCTGCTCGCTGACTTGGTTCATACATGTCATCCCAATTGCGTAGATCGATGCTGATGATGTCAATCACTGGATTGTCTGGTCCAGACACGATTACAGACCGCCGTCATGTAGGCGGAATATTGCTGCGTGTGGCGTTAACTACAAACAAACACAAAGTAACAGTTCGTAGTAGTAGTAGTAGTAGTAGTAGTAGTAGTAGTAGTAGTAGTAGTACAAGGAAGGGTGATAAATGTCGTGGTACTCCTATATGCTTCATCTGGAACGTGGCAAGGAAGAAGTGGGAGGATCAGCCAGTTTACTTGGAGGGGGAGTTATTGAACATCTTGTGGAAGGTCAGGCCTATACGTACTTAGGGATGCAGGTTAGGGACAAACTCCAGAATGCCAATATCAAGGAAATATTTCGGGCAGAGTGCAAATGTTGATTTTAGAAAATCAGTTAGAGCCACAAATACTTATGCTGTACCCGTCCTTTCATATTCTTTTGGTGTTGTTGATTGGACGAAACAAGAAATTCAGGGTATTGACACCCTCACGCGAAGAATCATGTCAGACAATAGATCCCACCACCCTCGCATTTCCCTCAATCGCTTATATTTACTAATCATAATGGGAGGGCGTGGTTTGAATAAGGTTTGAGCTCTTCATGGTGAAATTGTTTTGTGCACTTTTGCACACATTTAATTGTCTGATGATCGTCTTGTGAAGCATGCCAAGACTCATGATATAAAAAAGGCTTTCCACAGTTTTCGTAAACGAACTACGGATGTGGGACATGATCTCAATGTCGGTGTTGATTTTGTTGATGGCTCTGTACTGCTGGACGGTACAGAAATGGGTGTCAACCAAACGAAGTGCCATATCAAGTCGGCCCAGACTCAGTTTTTCAAGGAGAGGCTATCTGATACTGCAAACACGAAAACGTCGTTTTTTTCCGTATATGGTCATTGGACGGAAAAACGACTAAAAATTCATTAAAATTGATTAATTGGTGAGCGTCTGGAAAGTGTCCGGAAAAGGGTCGAGTTTTTCAAGCGTAAAATAGACGGAAAAATGATGCTTTTTGCCCCGCCTTGTACAACTGTTAACGACCAATGAGATGGCGCTGGTCCCCACGATGCACGTGATGCCTAAGGCTTCCTTTCGGAAGCATTGGGTTTCGTATTTCTGGCATGCCTTGCTCTAGTATCTGTCGCGCGTAGTGCAGCGAGATTTGCTGATAAGCCAGTTTTAGGATATGTAACATGTTAAAGGAATTCAGACACGCGCCAAGAAGTCAAACCAAACCATGTTACCAAGTTTATTGTGATAACATATCCCTCCGCTATGCACAGTTACCTCTATCGGATAATGGGTTGTGTTTCATTTGGTTATAACAGTAACCATTTTTTTACATGAAGTTTACAAGATATACGACGTTTCCATTGAAGGAGAGGTCGGTCACATGACGTTTTTCACGTGACTGTATTCTTGAAATGACATAAACACTGACCACTTCCATATTCCTGGGGAAAACCCTGGGAATTCCCGGGTACATGTACGAATTCATACGGAAGCGTTGTTTCTCGTCATTTGGACCCTTTAATTTGGAACTTAGCGTCTTAGCTTACTCTGGGATAAGTCAGAGAGTTTGGTTGCATAGCCCGTTTAAGGATACCCTCGCTACAACCCATCCTAGAGAAATAAAAACCCCAAAAAAACAAAACATCCAAACTATCGTAGTGACAATCTACAGCAATCTATGAGTTTACCTAAGTATCTATTTTACACATCTTTACAATCACCTTTCAATGATCGGCCAATTGATCAGTGATGACAAAGGCTTGAAATAACCACAGGTTTATTAACAACTTCGGAAATATCTCCCGTCACGTTTATCGTGTCGGCCATATTTACGTATTGTACTTGATGTAAATGTATTACGACGCTCTGTCATTGTGGTTGACTTACTGAGGCAATTCTTTAACAGATCTTCTCATCTACTGAGGATATTGTTTGGAATACATTTCTTATAAACAGACTAAAAGGGATGTTCCTCGCTTTTGGGGGAACTATTTTATTCCGGGATGGCCTATTAAAGCTAGTAGTAAGTGAAGGCACCATGCGTGTATATGATCTGTTATTATATGTGTTTAACTTAAGGTTTGGGGCGTTAATAAAATACACTGACGCAAGTATATTCTAATCAAATCAATTGGATAATTGAAGCAGCCTGGTTCCCCGGGTATGCTGGGCTGGCGCTACACTGACCCAGGCAATGACTGCACAATGGCCGCCTCCACTAGACGAACAAACATTTTACTATAGAAAAACGCTAGAACGGGAGGTTAAATATTTTTCTTAGCATTTTTATGAATGCTCTTGCAATGTATGTCACGAGAATAACGTCCGTTGTTACTTTTAGTGAAGGAAAACATTATTTAAGCTGTTTCGAGACTCGAAAGTGTTCGTCACATCGGTGAAATGTAAACAATGACCCACACCACATTTTCAACAGTGCTATGTGCGTTAATATTTCGTGTCAGCTCACTGTTATCACAAAATCGTATACATGATACGATCTTCATTTTGCAAATTTGATGAAGTAAATATCGCCGATTATGCCCCGTATTTTCCCATTGTGAAATGGTGGTTTAGCGGAATTATTGAACGCCCAGTATCCTTAACAATCGTGTTTAATGATAGGATCTGTCATTGGTTCCGATATTTGGCCTCTGGATTTTATTCACATGAAAATCCATTTATTTGACATTTGTTTTCTTATTACACAATGAAATTAATCATAGATATATCTAATAATTTTGGAATCAATTGGATTAATTTCAGTCTAGTGTTTCTGAACTAGATCTATGTGTGTTCCTGTTAAAATGTCGGGTCTGAATGGGATAATAATAAAGAATATGATCATAATTAATTTGGTACAGTGGCATACACATCCATGAGTATTCTATATGATGCAATATAGCCACTGGGGAATCCGTGTACAGAACAACATAAAGAACTGTGCATACCATTATTATTGAAAAATAGTTATGATTATAATTACCATGTTAGATGAAATATCTGTGTACGAAATTATCTACAAATAAACGACTCAATAAAAGATGTTAAGTTACATTATTGTTCAAGCAAAGGACAACAACCGAGCATGATCATAAAGGACCACTTCTTGTTTACTTAAGAGCAGAGTTGGCCATGTTAGATGATATAACCAAACTCCAGGCGCTCCGGCGGGGGACTAACTGGTCTTGTTATTGTGTGGTATGAGCTGTGACGTAGACGCAAGAGAATAATGTAAAAAATTAGACCAACTCAAGTTTATAATGATTGTGAAAGTCTAGATTTCAACAGCTCTAGTCTGTAATTAAGATTTGTTCTGTGCTCCTTTTTAATTGCATTGTTTTCATTTTGTAGACATGGATGGACCAACCAGGAAAGAAATTGATGGAATATTAACATCACATGTTACCACTGATCCAGTCAAATTCATCACATAATAATATATTAGTATTTGATATTACGACATTTGATTATTAGGGCATGATCATGTACAAGTTCACTGTAGTAATATACATACTAGTCAACTTGATTATAATTTTTATTATAGTGTAGCGCGGCATCAACGATTACTATATCATCCTCACTTGTCATTGATGTATTGACATCGAACAATGGACGACAATTCCAAATTCTTATTTGAGCTATAAATAGCTTCAATAGGGACAGTGCCGGTGTCAGTACAATTTTCGTAGTTAAAAATATGTATCTACAAAATATAATCTGAAGCAGCCAAGAACAATATTTTTTATTAACGCTTACTTTCATGGATAGAATTGAGGCAATCTAGGCTTGACAAATAGTTCTAGATTTGAGTTGGATTCCTTTTAAATTTATTCTCTATGGACTGGGAGACGTACAAGAGCGACAGTATCGCATGGAAAATTGGAGAACTGGGTCAGTGTAATCGGATATGTTGTGGAGTTTCGGGTTTGGGCTGTTTGCTGAATAGAACAAGGGCTCACGAACATGGGCACAATGTAGAAATTAAACCATTAGCACCTCTGTTTATATAAGATATGTTATTGTGATTTGAAATCTCTTTTGAACAATTGCGAGTTATTGTATAGTCTGTATTCTTTCGTTATGGTAGAATATATATTTTCTATGTTGCTAGTTAATTATCCACAAATAATGAGAACTACAATGTAAACCTCTCTCTGGAGATAAACAATAATAATACTGAAGGGCATATCTGACTAATCGACTAATATTTCTTTCTTAAATACTGTCCGTTACAGGAATTCTCATCATTATATTATACTTTGTATAGTTTAAAAGTCAAATAATGGCAAATTGTGTATCTTTCTACATTTTGAATTCATTATAATTTCTGCAATAAAACCTTAACATCAGATAGTGATATAAACGAATATGATCTATACTGTGATAAATGAATTATTAATTTCGTATTATGAATTAAATAAACTGAAATATGATTTTAATCTGCTCGTGTGAGAAGGTAACGAGAGATCTAGGCAACTCACTAACGTAACCATTTGTGAAAAAATCAAATATTCAAAGTTAAGGGGTTTGTACATGTACATTGAATGACAGGCAAGAAAGCAACGCAATAATTAAATTATGAATCAAAATTATGTTATAAATATAACAGAATATATAGAAAATATAAGTTTAATTTCTCATTGTTGGAAGGTGTTTAATAATAGTTTTTGTTTGAGTGTTTGTTGTTAAACGCCGCTTTCAGCAATATACCAGCTATATGACGGTGGTTCGTAAATAATCCAGTCTGGACCAGACAATCCAGTTATCATCATCAAGAGCACCGATCTACGCAATTCGGATACGATGACATGCATCAACC